ATCAGCATTGTTTGTAATAGGCAAAACCTGGAAACAACCTTGATCCCCTTCAACTGAAGAATGGATAAATAAATTGTGGCACATATACACAAGGAAATACTAATCAGCAGAGAAAAACAATGACATCATGAGGTTTGCAGGCAAATGGATGGATCTAGAAAAAATCATCCTGAGTGAGGTAACCCAGATTCAGAAAAACATATATGGTATGTACTCACTCATAGGAGGATACTAGATGTGGAACAAGGATGACTGGACTGCTACTCACATCACCATTGAGGCTACCTGGAAAACAGGACCCCAAGAAAGACACGGAGAAATGGCTGAGATCTTCATGAACAGCCTGGACATGAGTGGGAGCAATGAAGGGCGAGGGTCGAGGGAAAGAGAGCGGGAGTTCCTAGCTGGAACAAATATGTTTCTAACTGTGTTTTAAAAACATATCATAATACCCTCCGTGAAAGTTCTAACTCTCTCATTAATGAGGCTCTTGTTTTTAATTGCAGATAAAAACTATTACAGAGATCCAAATCAGGTAAACATGCACAGAATAAATTACCCTGGGATGGCCAAGTACACTTGATACATTTTCAATGTAAATTCTATATGAAGGCCCAGGGAAAGATCTGAGTAGAAGACAGAAAGATTTAAAGGTCTAGTGGACCAGAATGCCACTGTGAGATGGTCTCTTCTGTGCAAGACACGGCTGCTGTACCATTGAAATCTCTACAATATTGATGCCTAAACTAGACCTCCTTAGTACAGGAAGAAACCTGTCAGTTCCCTCCCCCTCAGTGAGGAGGAATTACAGATAAACAATGACTGCTGAGGGAAGGAGAATCTTTTTTCTTCAAGGACAAACTCCCTTATAGGATATTCAATTCCAAGTTTACTGCTCTAAACACATGTGCATATACATAACCATAACTGGGCTCTGTATGATACACACACACACATACATACACACACATACACACACACACACACACACACAGAGCAAATATTTGTATTAAGTTGAAGAACTTGTGAATTTGTGAAGAAGTGAAAGTTGGACATGGGAAGAATTTGAGTGGGTATATTGATGTGTACAATACTAGGGTTAAGAAAATTCTCAAAAAATATTTAATTTTAAATGTCACAAGGAAATCTCTTCTCACACACAACTCCTTAGTAAGTGATGTGTGTTCAGTGTTAAACACTGAATGGTGAAACTACGGTATCCAGGGCTGCGTTCCTCAGCCAGAGCTGGGTGGTCAGGGGGAGGCTTTGTTTGCATTTGCTGCTGCTGTATAAGTAGTTTTGTGGTGGAAGTATTAGACATCTGATTGCCTAGAGCAAACAAAACAGTCAAACCTGAGTTATTGGGAAGAAATTAAATAATTACCTATTACATATTACATATTGGTTACAAAGCTCAATGTTTTATTTCATTGTGTATTTTGCAAGACACCCCTCTGCCTTATTTTCTTCACAGAGGTCATTATGATAAAATTTTGATAAATTTACAAAGACTAGCAAAGTTTATGTATGTTGAATCATGACAATAAATTGAAGACATTTGTTTCAAGTATGTACCTTAGTGTAGATTCATGCAAAATGACTTGTATGTGATACCCAGTATTTAAAAACAATTATATGTAAATTCCTTAGAGTATTATTTTTCTGTGAAAAAATTCTAAAATTCGTACTCTAATTTTATTATTAGCCTGGTGTGGGCTGTGTTGAGTTGTAGCACTCCTGTATATCAGGTCACTATTTTTCAACATTATCAAAGTAATAAAGGAATCAAGTCAGTGAGTTCCAAAAAGTGGAGGGAAATATAGAGTCTTCACCCTAGGTTCTTTGCTTTGTGTCATTCCATGTCTCTAGTCCTGCATCCTCCCTTGGACATGACACTCCATACTGATGGGGCTAAAACTCAGCATAAAAGGACATGAAATTGCTCTCCATAATACAAGATTGTCAGACTCTAGTTTCCCAACTGATGAATTTGTTCTACTATGAGGTAAATTGTCTTCATGATAACTTAAGAAGGCCTTTGAATTATGTCATTTCCATTTCTGTAGCATTCCCAGGCGATTGATCTAGATTCTAGGACTTACCTGAATTTCTCCCTGTCAGATGTTGATTCCTTCTAGAGGAGACTTGTAACTGCCACAGGAGATGGTCTTCTAGTCCTCATGTGTGTTTAAATGAGAGTAAAAACTTTGAGTAGAGTCAGGAAACACCCTTTCTGGTTCCTCTGCACTTACTCCCCAGACTCCATATAACTAATTTATTTTGGTGTTCTCTTTTTGCTGTCTCTTGGCAAAAGTATGTAACAACACTATGGATAATATGGAGTTGATGTCATTTGAAA